ATAAATGATTAATTATATAAATTCAAAATGGTGCTTATGTTACTCTAGGTCTTATCGGTTTGAAGGTCGTGTTTTATGTTCAGGATTCGCGCGGTGTTGTTAACGACCGCATATTGTACGTATTGCGGAAACGAGGAATGTGACAATTGTAAGTCTCAAATGTTAATCTCATTACTATGTAAAGTGCAAAATCGCTCATTTTTGTGGGTTCATGGTCAATGCTTTGGTTTCTCACTCCACGAGGCAACTAAAGCCCGTTCGTGAATCCACTGCTCAGATCGGTTACCCTAGTGTAGGAGAGTGTGTCGTGTTTGTGAGAGAATGCTTTATTTTTTACTTTCGAGTCATAATAACGCGACGGTTATTCATCTCTTTTTCATCATAGACTTGTTAGCCATGTAAGAGCATGTGAGAGTGTGAGAGACTGTATGCTTCGCGGGGCCGACCCCGTTTGTGATTATGTAAGTCTTAGACATTCTACGCTATGAGCGGTATTTCAGACTAACTATTAGGGGAATCAAACCATATTGGTTTATAAAAGGGATCGTGCTGCATGTTTTGTCAAAGTGATCAGTATTGCTGTGCCTGTAGCAAGACTTTTGAAATATCCTTATGAGTAGAGTGTACGTCTATGTTTTATGATGATTCTCATATTTACCCGAACGTTCGTGACCCGACACATCGGCTCCAGTTGATTGTTTTAGAAACCAATGCCAGTCCAATGCGGTACTTTAATATTCTAAAACATCATAAATGCTGAAAGTTGTTTCCTTAATTTTATTTAAACTTAACCAGTGTTTGCTGAGATCTATTGGTTTGGGAAGAGTCAATGCCTCGCGTCACCAACGTTAGGCAGGCTGGGCAGCCAGCTGCGTAATAACGCATTGTTTTGTACTGTGAACTTACTACCATTATGTCTAATTTGAGCATGAATGAAAATATTATAAAGACTTTAATTTCGTACACAGTATAACAGACTCGTTTTAATTCCTTTACCCTACATCACACCATCAAAGTTGACACGATATAAACAATAAATATAAATTCGAACTAAAGATCTTTTAATACTAGACAAGTAAAACCAATTCGTTGAAAAGATACTCGTCAGGATTCGAGACGAACGTTCTCAAGGTACACCTTAAGCATCCCAGACATCGGCTGATCTTGTTTCTATCAGTTACCGGCTCATGCCCAAACTCGTGCCACGTACCGCTGCAGAGATTGTGCTGAAAACACTCATGGCAGAAACCCAGCCGCCAGTGTCCACTTAGCGGGGTTTGGACAGTGGTGTGCACATAGCAGACGTCGACGTCAGCGCAGCCTGCTCAGCCCGAGCCGATGTTGTTCGTCTTGGGATCGCACTTAGTGCCTCGGATGAGGTCCTCGACGCGGGCAGACTGCACGCGGTAGTTGACCTGCCAACAAGAGACTCGTGAGCATAAGGCCGAGTTGAGTTAGGACGGCCCCATCCAAGACACACTTGAGGCTCTTCGTGCAAGCCAAAGTTAAAGCGGTCATCGGATCGGCAAGGTCGCCGCGAGTCGCGAGTCCGCCCGGGCCCGGCCCGGCGAGCACTGCTATGGCTGTCCGCGCTGTTTTCCGCTTATTTTCCAGAGGAAATGTTCTGGACGGCAGAAACGGAAGAAAGAAAGGGGGATATCGTCTCACCTCGTTCCAGTTCATGGTGCCCGTAGCAAAGCGCTGGTAGCGGCAGCTCATGACCCACAGCTGGCCGTAGCGCACCTTGACCCCGCTCGTGAATTGGAGGGTCTCCGGGTCGCGCGCAACCACCTCGATGTTCCAGCCAGCAAAGGGCTGCTCCGAGTTCCAGCAGGTGATGGCTAGGTCGGGCAACAGCCCTGAGAACAAGATGCCCTGGGGGGACATGGCCTGCGCTGCCGACTGCGACCGCCTGCGGGAGCACAAGAGGGTCATCCTTGCAGTGTCACCAGCCTCCCCACTCTCCCCGTTCCGGTTTCCACCAGTGACACTCACCTCTTCTGGTCATAGCTCTTGAACTGAGCGGCCGCCTGGTTCTGGCCGCGGGGGAAGTTGTCTCTGTTGCGGAGCACGGACGTCTTGACGTGGTTCTCGCGCACCGAGGCCAGGGCGTGGAAGACCAGCGTGCGGTCCTCTTCGCAGCGGCCGCCACGTCCATGACCTCCATGGTAGCTGCCATGCTGCTGGTGGCCGCCCGAGGTGTGGCCGTCCTCGCACCTCAGCGGGCTCAGGGCCATGCCGAACACGCCGTCCGCCAGGTAGAAGGTGGTCCCCGCGATGGTGTGCGTCGAGTAGGCGGGGTCCGGCAGCGTCAGAGGGTGGTTCACGCGCCATGCTGATTTACTCTGAGGACCACCATAATAGAGCAATGACATGCTTACGTAATAACTTGACTAATCTGACAACTCGCACGCGACTAATTTTCTACGATTGCTCTAAAGAGTGTGTGGCAAGTTTGTTTCAAGGGCTGTTAGTTCTTCGGATCGAGTTGTGTGTCTTTCTTTATCAGTCCTGGCAGGTGCGGTGCACTTTAAGTAGAACTCCTTATCAGTTGTGTTTGCGCAGTTAAGGATTAACCAAACCATTAACCGTCTGCTGCTCCCCCGTGGATACGGCAACAATTCCGTATCCACATCTAATCGAGACTCGCTTAGCCGCCGCCGCAGCGAGTGCAAGCGTTTAAGTTGTACAGCTTTCCAATCAGCAACTCGGCAAAAGCAGGGAGTAGCATTTGGCTCTCGTTTATTTGCGACAGTGTCACCATCCTGTTATGCAACGACAGCGAGAGCTTCTGGGCGCTGTCGCGCTGAGAGGGAGAGAGGGAGAGAGGGAGAGAGGGAGAGAGAGAGAGAGAGAGAGAGAGAGAGAGAGAGAGAGAGAGAGA